CTCCTTAATGCTTGTAGACAGCTTTTACCCTGTTTACAACCCGCTCCTCAATTTTTTTTACTTAGAATCTCTTGATCCATTAAGTCTTTGTTAAACTCAGTTCTGTTTGCAGGCCAGCTAGGAGGTCTACCTTTGAACTGTCGATGGGCGATCTAGCATCCAGTCCATGCCAGCAACCTCCAATCCCCTCTTTAGGTTAAGAATGAACACTTTTCTCGAGTATCGTTTATTCTTACGTCCTCGGGGAAGCTTTGAGGTGCTACAACTTACCTATCCAGTGATAGAAAAATTGGTTGCCAAATTGAGAACCCGATACAGAACGCTCTACTTTGTATTTTCCGGGAACAAAAGCAAATTTTGATGGCCAGCATTTTATTTGCTAGGGACTCAGTTCAATTCCAAGGATTTTATTAACATAAAAGAAATTATCAAAGGTATTTAACTGTATAAGTGCAAAATTTGCAATCTCGTTTAGTCCCACAACACACGGAGGCTTTAAAATAAGCGACTTTACCGAAATAAAAGGGAAGTTTGGAGGATACGGTAACTCACGGAAAAGATTTAAGAAGTGGTTAGTTTTTAGTGGAGCCTCAGAATCCTATTGAAACTTAAGCTTAAATTGTAAAATTGAATGTTTACATTTTTAAGGAAATTGAAAGGCCTTTCCTATTTTTTCTTTTTGCAAAACGCATAATCTAGTTTTTTCTTTAAAAAACAGCCTTTAACATGGATTTTGTTACAATCATTTGTGTAACAATAGCGCCCGCTAATGCCCCTTGGTTCATACTTTAACCATGGAAGGCTTAGTAGGATGAACACACCTTCTTATTAATGAATGTTAACAATTAAACCATAGTTACTACCGAATACCTAGGGTAGCCCACTTGAGTCAGTGATACCACCAAGAGATGCTAACTTTGCTTAGTAGAGGCAATTAAATAATGCTTTTGTCTGGTCAAAAGGGCTTAGCCTATGCAAATGGGGAAAAAAAATGGATACACTAACGGGTCAGAAGGTTTGTATAAATGTAATAATTACAAAAATACTAATTATCTTTCATAAACATCATTTCAAACTCTTTTTAAGGGCAAATAATGCATGTGATTACAACTGCAGAGACAAGTAAGCGATGGACGCAATCAAAATGGATCAAAGTTGTGAAGGAAACGATTGGCTATATCAAGCAAAACAGGCACCTTTCGCACGTTTCCTAACTACGTACAATTTTTAGGTGAAAGAAAGTTGGTTGGCATCAACAACAGATGCGAGTTGAAAAAGGACACCCATTAGCAGTTCAAAAGTCATTCTAAGGTAACAATTATGACGAAAACTAGTTATCTTTTAAAAGGTATTAGTCCGAATTTCCCTGAAGGGTTATATAGTGTACTTGATTTCAGCCGTAAAAGAGAAGTTGATTTTGGGCACGCACACGTCTGAGCTACGTGCCATATGCTGGGTAAACAAAAGTCTGTTGGCATCTATGGTAGATGCAAGTCGACAGAATCCATTTATTGGGGTTGAGGGCAGGGAGTTTCACCATCACTTTACTGTCACTGGTAATGAGCATTTTAATGACTCTCTTAAATAAGTTCACAGCCTATCAGAGATCACTTAATTACAGCCCACCAATTTAAGGAGAGTAAAAATTTGGGCAGCCACTTCATGATAGATCCTATCTTTGCTTGGGATTGTGATTCAGCCGGTGAATAGCCATAATGATACTCAGGTTAGATGGCAAATTGTGATTTCGCCAATTAGCATTCCCACCCCCTCGCAACAATATTCACCTTTTTACAGCGATTTGAACATCCACTTCACCATCAACATTGTCACCTATTTGGCCGTCCCGAGTAAAAACTATTTTTATTCCAACCCACTTCAGGCACAGTTCTCGAATCAATTAAACAGCTTTCTAATTTAAAGCATTACCTTCTGAGACACAACTCGAGATAAGTCGGCGAAAAGGAACTGCATTTGCTGTGAGGACAAGGAAGGCTCTTTTTGCACACGCAGTAGTTAAGAAATCATGCCATCCACTGGCCGGAGTATGCTTGAACATGTAAGGCGTTACCATTTGAGGGAAATGCCGAACTTAAATTGATTGTCCAATTGGTTCAAGTGGATACATGTAGTGAAACAAATCCTGGGTGAGTAGCTGTGGTTCCACGACTGCTCAGTAGACAATGAAGCGGTACCACATCCTCTAATTTAGGTGAGATGTGAATAAATAAATTTTAACTGTGTTAGGAGTCCAATCTGCGTCTGGAATTCTGGCATTTAAAGGGAGACCGATCTTTTGGTTAGCAATGTTCAAATGTTTGGCTAGCAATGGATCACTTAACTTGATGCACGCATACACTCGTCTGGAATGCTGCATCAAATCGAAGAAGGACAATTATTTACTGAGGCTCTCCCAGTCCCTACCCCTCAAATTTGCCCCATTTTTGGATACAATTTGACTAGACATTATGCTGACACCAATCATTCTGGACTGAATCTGCAGGACCTGTCTGAATACTATTGTCCCCTAGTCTCGGCTGATTAATGAAGGCACAATGGAATGCAATTTTGGCTCACCTTTCGCGGGTTGCCTTTGCACACGCCTAATCTCTCAACTCCTGGTCATGAGGATGTAGCTACGCACGAACTGCAAAGAACTACGTAACTAAGGCGTCAGCAACTTTCATATCCAGTAAAGATAATTACTGCAAAGGAATAGAAGAGCAAAGATCCCTTGGCACAAAAATGTCATCCGCGTTTGTACTGTCGCAGCACATAGCCATCTACCAGTTCCCATGCAAACCACTTCAAATACGAGATTTCATTCATCCTCTTTCGGACTGGTCCAACAATTCTGTGTTTCCAATTGCATACAGAAACACGACATGCGGCTAAGTGGTAGGGGAAACCCTCACTGAGTTCGACAAATGACAACAGAGGAATCACAGTCTTCGCATGAATTAATATCGCTACTGCCCATGCTTTTGTTAAGCAAATGAGATTTTAAATACCTTGTTAAATTTTCCTTGCTAACTCCTGACAAGCAGGTATCCTAATTACACAAATCCAAGCACCTCTGCGGCTTATGTAAACCACAAAATAAGGCACCTGGATGATCAACAAGATATGTGTATTCTCCAACCCCTGGTACAGTGACATTCATCTAGCTTTTTTGTAGAAGGGCGAAAAAGTGTCAAGCCCTGACTTCATAACAGATGGATACAAACTATTCCAAAATTTTCCTCTTCTTCCACTATTCCTTGAAGTTAGCATAAATATCCAGTGTAACTGATAGCACATTGAATGTTTTGATTTAATGTAATGTGGTTAAACAAGCGCATTCCTGTAGAAACGGTCAAAATCTGGGGAAAATTTAATGCATTTACCAATAGCTGGTTGATCTAAAAGGTGGTGATAAATTTTCTGTTACTTTTTTAACAAAATTTGGGAAGTGGATGATGTTCAGCGCCAGGTTTATTTGTCCCGTAATGGTGTGTCACTGGGATCTCAGCAAGCGCCCTAGGGACCTCCTTCTTCATTCTGCAGATCCGAAAATTGTCACCATCTCGCGTTTATATTCAGGAAGAATGATGGATGAGAAAAAAGCAGGTTTACATTAAAAATGATTTCAGAATAAAGTCCTTCTCAAGGTAGGCAAAGTTTAATCTTCGATTCTGCAAATTATCCAGTTGCCTACCTCGTTAGGCAATTAATGCAGACCTAAATTAGGGAAAAAAGCCGGTTTGGAGAATGTAAGGAAGTCAATCTCCTAAAAAAGAGTTCAGTTGATTCTCTTTAAAATTTGCTTTAAAACCTGCTAGAACAAATATCGAAAGCTATGTACATGGCAGATTTAAACAGGGACTAAGGTAAAAGTTAATTGCTTTAAAATATGGGAAAACTAAGATTGATTATGAAAAACATGCCTCAAATTTGCGTAATGAATTAGGTCAGTAGATCATCTAGCTTGAAGAGGTATTGCCCGTTTGTGTTCACCAGATTCACACCAGAATCAAATTTGCAGCGCCTTTCGGTTTCTCGTTAGAATAAATCAATTGCAACAAAACGATGGGCTTCTGCAAACGCTTGGAGACAAGGTCACCGCTTCTGATACAAGTGATCGGTCCACCGTACTGCTAACCAAGGTGTTAGCCAGTTACACTATCCAAGTCCCACCAACAAATCACCCAACACATCTCACTGCCATTGCAAAATTGGTGGAAACCACCCAAGGAGACACATACAGTGCTTAGATTAAACCAAATTTGACCAACGTGTTTAACTATCACCAAGCAAAACCAAGGTTTCTCAAATTTTGTTACATTCCAATCCATTCATTTCCATTCATACTTCCGAATGAATCGTATCCGTCGGAAGTGTGTACGACGTATTCAACGCAATTTACGGTAGAGCGGTGAAGGAAGCGGTACAACATAAAATTGGAAGAACTTGGCATTTGCTCTCCCACATATCTATCTGCACATCACAAAGAGGTGCATGCGTAAGTTGGCTATCAGTAGCGTCTTGTTAGTTGCTGTTTGCAACAGTAAACACATCGTAACTCTCTCCATGAAAACTAGACACGAATGACGTATACTTCATCTAAATATTGAGATTGGCTGGAGTGAGGGATGCACATCAAGTTGATATTTCAAATTGGACCTACAGTAGTACATTGAGATTCTGTCCAGCCACACACACTAGCATCGTTGGGTGTCAGTTGTGATTGAAGGAGAGCGCTTACCGCCTACCGGTGAGGACACGACTCTTAGAAGGCTAGAGTCAAGAGCCATGTTTCTAGCCAACCACTTACTCTGCATGACAGCCTCTCCACATCACCATTCCCACCTCCGCACAATGCAGCTGTTGGCCTCTAGGCACACTGCCCTTTAGGTACACTACGTCCTCTGAATGGAACCGGTGGAGAGTGAACGGGTTTACTGCCAACCAGTGAACTGGTCTTTAAATGTCATGTCAATGGGTAAGAATGAATGGGGCCTGCCTCGAATTGGTCTGCAAGTGGTGGAATTTGCTTCCAGTGGAAGCCCTTGGTGTGACTAATGCGATCAGTGTGAATAATGTGCCTAAGGGTTGAGAAATCCTCGTCAAGTCAAGATAAAGAATTGTACAGCACTCCTTCGCAAATGCAATCTCAGTAATCATACCGCATTGTCAGTCATACTTTGGCCAGTGGATGGCATAATTTCTTAACTACTGCATGCATTGAAAGGATCTTCTCTCTCATCGCTGTGAATGTATTTCCCTTTCGTCGACTCAACTCGAGTTTCGCCATAAAGGATAATATTTTACATTAGGAGGCTGGTGATAAGTTTCGAGAATTGTGCGTGCTGTGCAACGAGGAAAGCCGTAGTTGTCACTTGTGTAGGCTAAATAAGCGGTATTTAAGGCGGCGAAGTGGGCGTAGGAAGGGTAGACGTGGGCATCTAAATGGAGGCAAATAGGTGAATTTTCTTGCGATGGCGCAGGAAAGTTTATTGCCAAAATCAAGTTTAGTCATCCAACCCGTGAAATATTCTGGGCATCCTCCGGTCGAGGTACATGTGATATCGTCCCAATTAGAAATTTACCTTGTGTCATGAATTTGCAGGGGAGACTATCATAAGCAATGGTTGAAGAAAGTGGACTGCATTGCATTTTATGAAATAATAAAAGTTGGTTCCCTTCTAACGGAAGGATATTGCTTCAAGTCTTGTTCGCCACTCCTTGAGGGGATTGACTAGGTGTTACATTCACGTGTTTCATCCCGGTTTTCCGTTCTGACAATAACAGAATCACTTTTCATTAATGCTGCACACAAAGTAGCCGAGCTGAAACAAACTCCCTAGATAAGACCTATCTGAAACTCGATTAAGAAAATGCCTACTTCTTTGATCTTTTATTTTTGTTAACCTGCTTCACTTAAAGCCTCTGTGTGGTGTTGGACTGATCGAGATTTGAATTTTTCACTGATAAACTTTATTATACTTGATTTTTGCTATTAAATTGGTAAAGTCTTCGACTATAGATGGAGCCACCAGCAAGTAAATGTATCGGATTTCAAAATTGGTGGTCAACGATAGAAAATGCTAAACTGAGTATGCTACTCCAGCTTTCTTAGTCGGCAACCCATTTCCTCTGTTATCGGAAAGGCAAGTTGCTGCACCTCGAGGCTTCTCTGAAGACGCAAAAACACTATACCGAGGGAGAACACATCTTGTTAGCAGAAAGAACGGTTCGGCGGCTACTGACATGGCTTGGAAGCCAGATGGTCGGTCGAGGATACGATACTCCTTAATGCTTGTAGACAGCTTTTACCCTGTTTACAACCCGCTCCTCAATTTTTTTTACTTAGAATCTCTTGATCCATTAAGTCTTTGTTAAACTCAGTTCTGTTTGCAGGCCAGCTAGGAGGTCTACCTTTGAACTGTCGATGGGCGATCTAGCATCCAGTCCATGCCAGCAACCTCCAATCCCCTCTTTAGGTTAAGAATGAACACTTTTCTCGAGTATCGTTTATTCTTACGTCCTCGGGGAAGCTTTGAGGTGCTACAACTTACCTATCCAGTGATAGAAAAATTGGTTGCCAAATTGAGAACCCGATACAGAACGCTCTACTTTGTATTTTCCGGGAACAAAAGCAAATTTTGATGGCCAGCATTTTATTTGCTAGGGACTCAGTTCAATTCCAAGGATTTTATTAACATAAAAGAAATTATCAAAGGTATTTAACTGTATAAGTGCAAAATTTGCAATCTCGTTTAGTCCCACAACACACGGAGGCTTTAAAATAAGCGACTTTACCGAAATAAAAGGGAAGTTTGGAGGATACGGTAACTCACGGAAAAGATTTAAGAAGTGGTTAGTTTTTAGTGGAGCCTCAGAATCCTATTGAAACTTAAGCTTAAATTGTAAAATTGAATGTTTACATTTTTAAGGAAATTGAAAGGCCTTTCCTATTTTTTCTTTTTGCAAAACGCATAATCTAGTTTTTTCTTTAAAAAACAGCCTTTAACATGGATTTTGTTACAATCATTTGTGTAACAATAGCGCCCGCTAATGCCCCTTGGTTCATACTTTAACCATGGAAGGCTTAGTAGGATGAACACACCTTCTTATTAATGAATGTTAACAATTAAACCATAGTTACTACCGAATACCTAGGGTAGCCCACTTGAGTCAGTGATACCACCAAGAGATGCTAACTTTGCTTAGTAGAGGCAATTAAATAATGCTTTTGTCTGGTCAAAAGGGCTTAGCCTATGCAAATGGGGAAAAAAAATGGATACACTAACGGGTCAGAAGGTTTGTATAAATGTAATAATTACAAAAATACTAATTATCTTTCATAAACATCATTTCAAACTCTTTTTAAGGGCAAATAATGCATGTGATTACAACTGCAGAGACAAGTAAGCGATGGACGCAATCAAAATGGATCAAAGTTGTGAAGGAAACGATTGGCTATATCAAGCAAAACAGGCACCTTTCGCACGTTTCCTAACTACGTACAATTTTTAGGTGAAAGAAAGTTGGTTGGCATCAACAACAGATGCGAGTTGAAAAAGGACACCCATTAGCAGTTCAAAAGTCATTCTAAGGTAACAATTATGACGAAAACTAGTTATCTTTTAAAAGGTATTAGTCCGAATTTCCCTGAAGGGTTATATAGTGTACTTGATTTCAGCCGTAAAAGAGAAGTTGATTTTGGGCACGCACACGTCTGAGCTACGTGCCATATGCTGGGTAAACAAAAGTCTGTTGGCATCTATGGTAGATGCAAGTCGACAGAATCCATTTATTGGGGTTGAGGGCAGGGAGTTTCACCATCACTTTACTGTCACTGGTAATGAGCATTTTAATGACTCTCTTAAATAAGTTCACAGCCTATCAGAGATCACTTAATTACAGCCCACCAATTTAAGGAGAGTAAAAATTTGGGCAGCCACTTCATGATAGATCCTATCTTTGCTTGGGATTGTGATTCAGCCGGTGAATAGCCATAATGATACTCAGGTTAGATGGCAAATTGTGATTTCGCCAATTAGCATTCCCACCCCCTCGCAACAATATTCACCTTTTTACAGCGATTTGAACATCCACTTCACCATCAACATTGTCACCTATTTGGCCGTCCCGAGTAAAAACTATTTTTATTCCAACCCACTTCAGGCACAGTTCTCGAATCAATTAAACAGCTTTCTAATTTAAAGCATTACCTTCTGAGACACAACTCGAGATAAGTCGGCGAAAAGGAACTGCATTTGCTGTGAGGACAAGGAAGGCTCTTTTTGCACACGCAGTAGTTAAGAAATCATGCCATCCACTGGCCGGAGTATGCTTGAACATGTAAGGCGTTACCATTTGAGGGAAATGCCGAACTTAAATTGATTGTCCAATTGGTTCAAGTGGATACATGTAGTGAAACAAATCCTGGGTGAGTAGCTGTGGTTCCACGACTGCTCAGTAGACAATGAAGCGGTACCACATCCTCTAATTTAGGTGAGATGTGAATAAATAAATTTTAACTGTGTTAGGAGTCCAATCTGCGTCTGGAATTCTGGCATTTAAAGGGAGACCGATCTTTTGGTTAGCAATGTTCAAATGTTTGGCTAGCAATGGATCACTTAACTTGATGCACGCATACACTCGTCTGGAATGCTGCATCAAATCGAAGAAGGACAATTATTTACTGAGGCTCTCCCAGTCCCTACCCCTCAAATTTGCCCCATTTTTGGATACAATTTGACTAGACATTATGCTGACACCAATCATTCTGGACTGAATCTGCAGGACCTGTCTGAATACTATTGTCCCCTAGTCTCGGCTGATTAATGAAGGCACAATGGAATGCAATTTTGGCTCACCTTTCGCGGGTTGCCTTTGCACACGCCTAATCTCTCAACTCCTGGTCATGAGGATGTAGCTACGCACGAACTGCAAAGAACTACGTAACTAAGGCGTCAGCAACTTTCATATCCAGTAAAGATAATTACTGCAAAGGAATAGAAGAGCAAAGATCCCTTGGCACAAAAATGTCATCCGCGTTTGTACTGTCGCAGCACATAGCCATCTACCAGTTCCCATGCAAACCACTTCAAATACGAGATTTCATTCATCCTCTTTCGGACTGGTCCAACAATTCTGTGTTTCCAATTGCATACAGAAACACGACATGCGGCTAAGTGGTAGGGGAAACCCTCACTGAGTTCGACAAATGACAACAGAGGAATCACAGTCTTCGCATGAATTAATATCGCTACTGCCCATGCTTTTGTTAAGCAAATGAGATTTTAAATACCTTGTTAAATTTTCCTTGCTAACTCCTGACAAGCAGGTATCCTAATTACACAAATCCAAGCACCTCTGCGGCTTATGTAAACCACAAAATAAGGCACCTGGATGATCAACAAGATATGTGTATTCTCCAACCCCTGGTACAGTGACATTCATCTAGCTTTTTTGTAGAAGGGCGAAAAAGTGTCAAGCCCTGACTTCATAACAGATGGATACAAACTATTCCAAAATTTTCCTCTTCTTCCACTATTCCTTGAAGTTAGCATAAATATCCAGTGTAACTGATAGCACATTGAATGTTTTGATTTAATGTAATGTGGTTAAACAAGCGCATTCCTGTAGAAACGGTCAAAATCTGGGGAAAATTTAATGCATTTACCAATAGCTGGTTGATCTAAAAGGTGGTGATAAATTTTCTGTTACTTTTTTAACAAAATTTGGGAAGTGGATGATGTTCAGCGCCAGGTTTATTTGTCCCGTAATGGTGTGTCACTGGGATCTCAGCAAGCGCCCTAGGGACCTCCTTCTTCATTCTGCAGATCCGAAAATTGTCACCATCTCGCGTTTATATTCAGGAAGAATGATGGATGAGAAAAAAGCAGGTTTACATTAAAAATGATTTCAGAATAAAGTCCTTCTCAAGGTAGGCAAAGTTTAATCTTCGATTCTGCAAATTATCCAGTTGCCTACCTCGTTAGGCAATTAATGCAGACCTAAATTAGGGAAAAAAGCCGGTTTGGAGAATGTAAGGAAGTCAATCTCCTAAAAAAGAGTTCAGTTGATTCTCTTTAAAATTTGCTTTAAAACCTGCTAGAACAAATATCGAAAGCTATGTACATGGCAGATTTAAACAGGGACTAAGGTAAAAGTTAATTGCTTTAAAATATGGGAAAACTAAGATTGATTATGAAAAACATGCCTCAAATTTGCGTAATGAATTAGGTCAGTAGATCATCTAGCTTGAAGAGGTATTGCCCGTTTGTGTTCACCAGATTCACACCAGAATCAAATTTGCAGCGCCTTTCGGTTTCTCGTTAGAATAAATCAATTGCAACAAAACGATGGGCTTCTGCAAACGCTTGGAGACAAGGTCACCGCTTCTGATACAAGTGATCGGTCCACCGTACTGCTAACCAAGGTGTTAGCCAGTTACACTATCCAAGTCCCACCAACAAATCACCCAACACATCTCACTGCCATTGCAAAATTGGTGGAAACCACCCAAGGAGACACATACAGTGCTTAGATTAAACCAAATTTGACCAACGTGTTTAACTATCACCAAGCAAAACCAAGGTTTCTCAAATTTTGTTACATTCCAATCCATTCATTTCCATTCATACTTCCGAATGAATCGTATCCGTCGGAAGTGTGTACGACGTATTCAACGCAATTTACGGTAGAGCGGTGAAGGAAGCGGTACAACATAAAATTGGAAGAACTTGGCATTTGCTCTCCCACATATCTATCTGCACATCACAAAGAGGTGCATGCGTAAGTTGGCTATCAGTAGCGTCTTGTTAGTTGCTGTTTGCAACAGTAAACACATCGTAACTCTCTCCATGAAAACTAGACACGAATGACGTATACTTCATCTAAATATTGAGATTGGCTGGAGTGAGGGATGCACATCAAGTTGATATTTCAAATTGGACCTACAGTAGTACATTGAGATTCTGTCCAGCCACACACACTAGCATCGTTGGGTGTCAGTTGTGATTGAAGGAGAGCGCTTACCGCCTACCGGTGAGGACACGACTCTTAGAAGGCTAGAGTCAAGAGCCATGTTTCTAGCCAACCACTTACTCTGCATGACAGCCTCTCCACATCACCATTCCCACCTCCGCACAATGCAGCTGTTGGCCTCTAGGCACACTGCCCTTTAGGTACACTACGTCCTCTGAATGGAACCGGTGGAGAGTGAACGGGTTTACTGCCAACCAGTGAACTGGTCTTTAAATGTCATGTCAATGGGTAAGAATGAATGGGGCCTGCCTCGAATTGGTCTGCAAGTGGTGGAATTTGCTTCCAGTGGAAGCCCTTGGTGTGACTAATGCGATCAGTGTGAATAATGTGCCTAAGGGTTGAGAAATCCTCGTCAAGTCAAGATAAAGAATTGTACAGCACTCCTTCGCAAATGCAATCTCAGTAATCATACCGCATTGTCAGTCATACTTTGGCCAGTGGATGGCATAATTTCTTAACTACTGCATGCATTGAAAGGATCTTCTCTCTCATCGCTGTGAATGTATTTCCCTTTCGTCGACTCAACTCGAGTTTCGCCATAAAGGATAATATTTTACATTAGGAGGCTGGTGATAAGTTTCGAGAATTGTGCGTGCTGTGCAACGAGGAAAGCCGTAGTTGTCACTTGTGTAGGCTAAATAAGCGGTATTTAAGGCGGCGAAGTGGGCGTAGGAAGGGTAGACGTGGGCATCTAAATGGAGGCAAATAGGTGAATTTTCTTGCGATGGCGCAGGAAAGTTTATTGCCAAAATCAAGTTTAGTCATCCAACCCGTGAAATATTCTGGGCATCCTCCGGTCGAGGTACATGTGATATCGTCCCAATTAGAAATTTACCTTGTGTCATGAATTTGCAGGGGAGACTATCATAAGCAATGGTTGAAGAAAGTGGACTGCATTGCATTTTATGAAATAATAAAAGTTGGTTCCCTTCTAACGGAAGGATATTGCTTCAAGTCTTGTTCGCCACTCCTTGAGGGGATTGACTAGGTGTTACATTCACGTGTTTCATCCCGGTTTTCCGTTCTGACAATAACAGAATCACTTTTCATTAATGCTGCACACAAAGTAGCCGAGCTGAAACAAACTCCCTAGATAAGACCTATCTGAAACTCGATTAAGAAAATGCCTACTTCTTTGATCTTTTATTTTTGTTAACCTGCTTCACTTAAAGCCTCTGTGTGGTGTTGGACTGATCGAGATTTGAATTTTTCACTGATAAACTTTATTATACTTGATTTTTGCTATTAAATTGGTAAAGTCTTCGACTATAGATGGAGCCACCAGCAAGTAAATGTATCGGATTTCAAAATTGGTGGTCAACGATAGAAAATGCTAAACTGAGTATGCTACTCCAGCTTTCTTAGTCGGCAACCCATTTCCTCTGTTATCGGAAAGGCAAGTTGCTGCACCTCGAGGCTTCTCTGAAGACGCAAAAACACTATACCGAGGGAGAACACATCTTGTTAGCAGAAAGAACGGTTCGGCGGCTACTGACATGGCTTGGAAGCCAGATGGTCGGTCGAGGATACGATAGCAGCTCCCCAATCAACCAGTTGCCAGAATCGAGAAATCGACAAACAGTAGACTCATTGCAAGATTTTAAGTTAAGAAATTGGATTATAAGTTATTAACAGGAAAGAAGCAGTTTATTAGCATAATGGGG